TCCGTTTTTGTTGCAGAAATGTTTTGAAGTAAATTCCAGAGGGGGCCAGTAGGTGGTATGGTGTTTAAGACACTGGATTCCCAAATGACTGACCATGGTTCAAGTCTCAAACCTACCGGCTTGCTTTCTCTCTCTCTCTCTCTCTCTGGTGAGCACATGTGCCCTATAGCAAATTAATAACATTACATAAATAATTATTTAAGAAAAGGAAAGAAATCCTAGTGACTTATATGTGTATAGTTCAGTGTTCATCTCGAAAAGAAAAAAAAATAAAAAGATTACATTTTAGAAAACCTGGAACCATAATCATGCTGTGTTAAAATTAACAGTAATTGTTTGATGCCCCTTAACATCCTGTTTTATCATTGCTTCCATTGTGTTTCAAATAAAAGTTGTTTAAATTTGAATCCAATCAAATTCTCATTTACATTTGATCGTATTTTTTAAGTATCTTTTTGTCTGGAGAATATAATCCCTCCTTTATTAATGAAGCTGGAAAATTCAGTAAATTATTTTACATTACTTGATCATATCTTTCTAATGTCATTTACTTCTCCGTAAACTATAGTGTAGGCATAAATATTTGCTTTTAGTTACACTTTTTAGGATCGATTGTAATCGATCCTAAAAAGAGCTGTGTGCTTTGTACTTGCATCACATCAAGAGGCACATGGTGTTTGATTTTTGCACCCTTCATCTTGCTCATACTAATCTCTGAAGTCAGTTGGTGACATCCTGATATTTCCACTGAAAATTTCACTTTAACCTTTCATGTAATGCTTTTATTCATTTATGATCTTTGTCAAAATTGGTTATTTCATTAGGTTTACAAAAGAGTAATTTAAAAACTGTCAAAGTCTTTAAAAATCTAAGGAATTTTCTGCAGAGAGGAAAAGAATTCTAACATGAGGAAGAACTCTAATAACTGGAGGAAGTAGACTTGGTAGATAAGAAGGGATAGGGGCCAGAGCACATGATGAAACATATTAGACAGGAGCAAGAATTTGTTTTGTTTTGTTTTGTTTTAAATTGTTAGAGAGGGGTGCCCTTGCTAGAAAAAAAGGTGGAAAGTATCCCACAATGGGGCATAGTCACAGAGCACTTCCCTCTACTTCCATCTCTCCTGTTGTGAATTGAGGCATGTACACACATATACGTAGCATGTTTTTCAAGCCTCTGGGCCAGTATTTCCACTGTAGTACGAGATCTGGCTCCCTTAACCACTAGGTTGTGGAGCCAGCCCAAGAACGGGTACTGTTCAGGTGACTTGTCCAAGTTACAATAGCATAGAAAGAACACGTTAAAGTTATATGAAAAATTTGCTGTGAAATCTATCTGATGATTCTACCTTATTTTAGAAACAAATATTTTCAGCATTTTAATATTGCATGTGAAATTAAAAGTTAAAGCTGGCTCAGACACTATAATACAACAGTGATACAAGTACCCTTCAAACTTGGAAGCAATGTGACTGTCCAAAGGTTCAGATCCCCAGGTCCGATTGTAAGCATGCCAATTTGCACACAGCTGCCCAGGATTCTGAGGAATAGAAAGCTGAGGAAAGGGGACCATGGCATGATAAGACTGTTACATGTACTTTCTCTTTCCC